TTTAATATCAAGAAATCAGAGGCCTAGACAGGTTACACAATTCTGCTAGTGATTGGCAGAGCCAGGTTTGTCCAACTTTACCATCTAGCTGCTTTTCCAGTTTGGACACTCTGAATAATATTAAAAGGCAGATGACAAACCAAAGGTAAGTATTTCAACATTAATGAAATAAAAAAAGTCAAACACTAATGGAAAGATGAACACAGAAAAGGCACAAGCAATTCAGAAAAGAAAATACATTGATAACTATTAAGCAAATAAAAATGTTCACTCTTACCTAGTAATTAAATAAATGCAAATTAATATAAGAAATCATTTCTCACCTATCAAATCAGCAAGGATTTTATTTACAATTATAAAGGGCTGGGCAAACAAGTATTTTCCCTCTGGGTTTTTTCAATTTTCTTTTTAATAGAGATGGAGGTCTCACTATATTGCCTAGGCTGGTCTTGAACTCCTGAGCTCAAGTGATCCTCCCACCTCAGCCTCCCAAAGTGCTGGGATTACAGGCGTGAGTCAGTGCATCTGGCTGCAAATGAGTATTTTCATTTTCATACAGCTGGCGGGAGTATATGTGGAGGGCATTTTGTAATACATGACACTAAGTCTTAAAAATGTGTATATCTCTTTGCTATAATAATCCTACTTCCAAAAATTTATCCTAAGTAAATAATTACGACTGTGATAACACTGTGATAAACAATATTGTAGCTATTTATTTTTTTGAGACGGAGTTTTGCTCTGTCCCCAGGCTGGAATAAAGTGGCATGATCTCAGTTCACTGCAGCCTCCCTGTCCCGGGCCCAAGTGATTCTCCTGCCTCAGCCTCTTGAGTAGCTGGGATTACAGGTGTGCGCCACCACACTCGGCTAATTTTTTGTATTTTTAGTAGAGACAGGGTTTTGCTGTGTTGGCCAGGCTGGTCTCGAACTCCCGACTTCAAGTGATCTACCCACCTTGGCCTCCCAAAGTGCTGACATTACAGGTGTGAGCCACTGGCCTGTGGCTATTTATAACAGTAGAAAAATTGGAAACAGAAATAACATAAACGTCTAGCAGGGAACTGGCTAAATAAGTGGAGAAAATATCCTTCACTGGCCAGGCTCAGGGGTGGGGCTCATGTCTGTAATCCCAGCAGTTTGGGAGGCTGAGGCGGGTGGATCACCTGAGGTCAGGAGTTCAAGACCAGCCTGGCCAACATGGTGAAACCCTGTTTCTACTAAAAATAAAAAGAAATAGCTAGGCGTGGTGGCATGTGCCTGTAATCCCAGCTACTTGGGGGCTGAGGCAGAAGAATCACTTGAACCTGGGAGGTAGAGGTTGTGGTGAACCGAGATCGGGCCAGGCCTGGGCAACAGAGTAAGACTCTGTCTTAAAAAAAAAAAAAAAAAAAAAAGGCCAGGCGCAGTGGCTCGTGCTTATAATCCCAGCACTTTGGGAGGCCAAGGCGAGCGGATCATGAGGTTGGGAATTCGAGACCAGCCTGGCCAACACAGTGAAACCCCCGTCTCTACTAAAAATACAAAAAAATTAGCTGCGCATGGTGGCATGAGCCTATAATCCCAGCTACTCAGGAGGCTGAGGCAGGAGAATTGCTTGAACATGGGAGGTGGAGGTTGCAGTGAGCTGAGATTGCACCACTGCACTCCAGCCTGGGCGACAGAGCAAAACTCCATCTCAAAACAAACAACAACAAAACAAATCCTTCACTTTATAGGATTGTTGCAAAGGGTACATTAATTAAATGAGATAAAGCACTTAAGATAATGCCTGACATACATGTGTATAATAAATTATAGCTACTATTATAGCAAATTTACAAGAATAAATATTATATAGCCATTAAAATTATATTGCTGACATAATACAGCAAAAGAAAAAGCAGGTTACAAGAGTATAAATACCCAACATTTGTTTTTACTATATACATGAACACATAAACACTTATGCAAAGTATCTGTCTATATGTGTGTTAAGAAACTGAAGAATTTTTTTTAATGGGTATATGCCAAAATGTTAAGAGTGGTGATCTCTTGGTGGCATGATTTTATTTTGTTTGCAATTTTCATAGTTTCTCATATATTTTAATAAGTATGTGTTACTCTTTTTTTGGTTTGTTTGTTTTGATTTTTGAGACCAGGTCTTGCTCTGTTGCCCAGGCTGGAGTGAAGTGACACAATCACAGCTCACTGCAGCCTCGATCTCCTGGGTTCAAACAATCCTCCCTGCCTCAGTCTCCCAAGTAGCTGGGACCACAAGCGTGTGTCACCACCCATGGCTAACTTTTGTATTTTTGCAGAGCTGGGGTTTTGCCATGTTGCCCAGGCTGGTCTTGAACCTCTGGGCTCAAGAGATTCACCTGCCTTGGCCTCCCAAAGTGCTGGCATTACAGGCGTGAGCCACCACGTCCAGGTGTATATGAATTACACCTTTAATGAGAAAGATAAAAATTTGGGGGACTGGGCATGGTAGCTCATGCCTATAATCCTAGCACTTTGGGAAGCCAAGGCAGGTGGATCACCTGAGGTCAGGAGTTCAAGAACAGCCTGGCCAACATGGTGAAACCCCATCTCTATTAAAAATACACAAATTAGCCAGGCACGGTGGTGTGCACCTGTAGTCCCACCTACTTGGGAGGCTGAGGCAGGAAAATTGCTTGAACCTGGAAGGTGGAGGTTGCAGTGAGTGGAGGTCACACCACTGCACTCCAGCCTGGGTGACAGAGAAAGACTCCGTCTGAATAATAATAATAATAACAATAATAATAATAATAATAATTTTTTAGGGGGTGGGAATTTAGGTAGTTGTATTGCTTTAGAAGAAACAAGAAGTATTCAGTTTGCCTATTTGATCAAAGACGAATACTCAACAAATTTATACAATAACTAAAATAATCATGAAAGAAACACTTCAGTTTCACATTATGAACATTTAAGGGTCCAAAGAAAAAAATGACAAAGGAGAAGAAACAAAGAAATACAGGAGAAAGAGGGAGGAAGGAATGGGGAGAAAAGCACACAGGGAGACAGGCAGGTAAGATAAGGGGGATGCAGAGGCAGAGACTTAAGTGCTAGAGGTTCCTTTCAATTCTGTGACATTTACCAAGCATCTATGTGCCAAGCAGTGTGTGTGAATATGACACAACTTCCACCTTCACAAAAAACTTATGTTCTGGCCAGGGGTGGTGGCTCACGCCTGTAATCCCAGCACTTTGGGAGGCCGAGGCAGGTGGATCATTTGAGGTCAGGAGTTCTAGACTGGCCTCACCAATATGGTGAAACCCTGTCTTTACTAAAAAAAAAAAAAAAAAAAAAAAATTAGGCGTGGTGGTGAACGCGTGTAATATCAGCTACTCAGGAGGCTGGGGCAGGAGAATCACTTGAACCCTGGGAGGTGGAGGTTGCAGTGAGCCAAGATCGTGGCACTGCAGTGAGCCAAGATCGTGCCACTGCACTCAGTCTGGGTGACAGAGCGAGACTCCATCTAGGAAAAAAAGAAAGAAAGAAAGAAAGAAAACCAAAAAACCCCCCAAAACTTATGCTCTGTTTAGTTCCATGTTTTCTTGCCGTATCACACACAAAAAAACCTGAACCCTAAAAATGACATTAGAACTAAGAGCCTATCCAAGAGCCACCAAATTATAAGGAGAATCTGTTAACTATTCTGATGTATCCTGCCATCCACTTGGCTATATCTGCAAAGTTATCATTTTCTTTTCAGGTCTAATTTAACTAATTAAACTGCTTTCATGACTCTTCATCTAGACTAAAAATCCTTAAAATCTGAAGGTGCTCTGTTCTGAATGAGAATGAAGCCCACTAGGTAGGCGTTTTTCTTTGGGCTTCAACAGAGAACTGAGAACTAAAGAGATCCAGCCATGGGCAGAATTTCCTCACCACTAGTTAAGCAAAAAGAACAGCAGGCTAAGCAAGATAATCTCTGTTGTTCTTTCTAGCTTCACTACTCTGTAGACTAATGGAACCTGGAATCCTGTCATTATATTTTATTTAGAAACCTGAAAAATGTTTCATCCTGTTCAATTTATGCGAAGATGACTAATCCCAGAACATCAAGTTTAGACTGAGATACAATGATAGTGTTTATAGGGGAGCTATTATTTTAGCCAGTTCCCTGGAAGCAGGATAATCAAATGCTTGTAAGACTCAAATCCATGCTATGGAACATATGCTCCTAAAACCACAAAGTGGTTAAAATATTAATTAACCTCACGGAATGGATGTGTTCCTGAAAAGTAGTGAATTTTTGTAAATCATGTAAAATCAAACTTTAAGAACACTGAGAGGGGCTGTCTTGGTGGCTCACACCTGTAATTCCAGCACTTTGGGAGACTGATCGCAGGCAGATCGCTTGAGCCCAGGAGAGACCAGCCTGGGCAACATGGTGAAACCCTGTCTCTACAAAAAATACAAAAATTAGCCAGCTATGGTGGCGTGCACCTGTGGTCCCAGCTACTTGGTTGGCTAAGGTGGGAGGATGGCTTGAGCCTGGGAGGTAGAGGCTGCAGCGAGCTGAGACTGCGCCACTGCCCTCCAGCCTGAGTAATGGAAGCAAGACCCTGTCTTTAAAAAAAAAAAAAAAAAGAAAGAAAGAAAAAACAGAGAGAAGGGTATTCTATTAAAGCAATCAGTGTCCTCCATCCTTGTAAGTTCCAGAACCCTTTCCTTAGGAAAATAACGTATGCACATACACAAAACAAGTTTCATAGAATTTCAGGAGTTCCTGAACCCCATGCAAAGACCTCATTGTCTTAAAAGAGCTCAAAGTTAAAAGGCACTCGCAAACAATTCTTTTTTAAACAATCAGTTATTAGAGCTAAATTTTTCAGTATTACTAATCTACATTTTTACATATTAGGTTTATTTAAAGTGAGATTTTTGCTTCATATGCAAATTTGTGGTTTTGATTTTTTAAAAAACAGACCCACAGATGATCAACAAGTGCTTGAGACATTATCTGTATCTTTCCCAAGAAATTCTTACCAGTGTGTGTTTTCATGTGTTCGTCGAAGTACTGCTTCATGTTGAAATCCTTGCCACACCACTGGCACATGAACTGTTTGTGCCCAATATGAATGCTCATGTGGGAGCGTAGCTGGTACTTGTACTGAAACCTTTCGTCACAGTTCTGCATTGGACACAGTTGGAGATTTTTGAATGCCAAGCATAATAGCTTTACCTGAGCCCACCCTAACATAGTCTCTGATATTAGGCTTATTTTTCATACTCAAAATAGAACCTGCTTGTGTCAGCTATTTGGCTTTGCTATATTTCTGCAGGTGAGTTACTAATAAAAGGGAAATTTTCTCACAAAATTAACATTGAAGTATACTCGACTTCTCAGAATCACTGAGAAAAGAAAAATAAGTCATTGTGTGTTACTTCTAAGTTAACCTAATCTAAGAGTTAACAGTGCGTTAAAAGTGACATTTTTCTACCTTGCAGTGACAGCACACACCAAGCTCAGGCAGTGACAGCACACACCGAGCTCAGAACACACCGAGCTCAGAAGGTTCTGTGGAAGGCAGCTTTGTGCCTCCTGCTCCAGCATACCTCTCTCACTGGTCCGTCATCTATGCAAAAACTAACCCCTAGGCCTGGGCCTGTAGGTAGCACATTCCTTACCTCGCATCTGAAGGGCTTCTCTCCAGAATGCTGCAAGGAGTGCACCTTGAGTGACATACTGCGTTTGAATGATTTTCCACAGGTTTCACATGTAAATGGCATGTCTTTTGTGTGTGCTGCAACACAGAATGTACTTAGTGTCAAAACAAATCCACCAAAAAGCTCAAACTAAAAATGTATCCTACTGTAAAGCAAATATGCCCTCCTAATTTTCTACACTGATTTGTAAGCCTTTTTTTTTTTTTTTTTCCTGACATGGAGTCTTGCTCTGTCGCACAGGCCGGAGTGCAGTGGTGCGATCTTGGCTCGCTGCAACCTCCACCCCCCGGATTCAAGTGATTATCCTGCCTCAGCCTCCCGAGTAGCTGGGATTACAGGCATGCGCCACCACACCCAGCTAATTTTTGTATTTTTAGTAGAGACAGGGTTTCACCATGTTGGCTAGACTGGTTTCAAACTCCTGACTTCATGTGATTTGCCTGCCTCAGCCTCCCAAAGTGCTGGGATTACAGGCGCAAGCCACCACACCAGGCCTTTGTGAGGCTATAATAGTAATATCTGAAGAGAAAAATAATGTTGAAAAGAAATCTGGGTGTGGAAGACTATACCATCCAATTTGGTGATACTTACTGAAGACATATTGCATTCAGTTTCAACAGGTCAAAACTGATTAGGGCAATTCCTCATATTCTGCCCAACCCAAGGCATAAAGTACACAGAAGAGCAAGGGAAAATTATAGGTATGAGAGAAAAGCAGAAAAACTTACCAACCATGTGTTTCCGCACATGAGCCATGGTATAGAATTTCTTCTCACAAATTTCACAGGAAAATTTCTTTTCTGCATATCCATGGACGATCTTGATATGCTCATGAAGGGACCAGAGTTTCTTGAACGATTTGTTACAGGAAACACACTGAGCAGGATAAATAGAAATAATATTTATAGGGGCTTACAGAATGCCATACCAGCCTACTGGCAGATGAAACGGATGTGCTTCAGGTTCATGGCACAAGGCCAGAATTCAGATAAATGCTATTCTTCCACAGAGCCCAGATTCCAACACCAACATCTGTATGTTCTCTTTTTCTAAGATGCATCTTTTAGACACTCTTTGGGAGTATGAAAACAATGGCAAAAACTAAGACAAAAAGTGGAAAGTTCCACTAACATCAAGCAATGTTCAAGTGATTCTCCTGCCTCAGCCTCCCAAGTAGCCAGGATTACAGGCGGGCACCACCACGCCCAGCTAATTTTTTTGTATTTTTAGTAGAGACGGGGTTTCACCGTGTTGCCAGGGTGATCTCGATCTTCTGACCTCGTGATCCATCTGCCTCGGCCTCCCAAAGTACTGGGATTATAGGCATGAGTCACCACGCCCAGCCAAGCTTTTTTATTTTTAAACAGAAGTTGCAAGAGATTCAAGTTTTAAAAATATATGTATTAAGCAAATGTGGCTGCCTCCTCCACATCAGTTAGTAAGGGTTTACCAGAGAATATATACTAATTTTAAATTAGTATAATAAAGACAAGAAACAAAATACATATTAGTGGTATAGGTATTATAGGTATGTAGAAATATAAAAATGTTCTTACGCCTTAGAAAATGCATTTGGAGCCAGGCGCAGTGGCTCACGCCTGTAATCCCAGCACTTTGGGAGGTCAAGACGGGTGGATCACCTGAGGTCAGGAATTTGAGACCAGCCTGGCCAACATGGAGAAACCCCATCTCTACTAAAAATACAAAATTAGCCAGGCATGGTGGCGCATGCCTGTAATCCCAGCTACTCGGGAGGCTGAGGCAGGAGAATTGCTTGAACCTGGGAGGCGGAGATTGTGGTGAGCCAAGATCGCGCCACTATATTCCAGCCGGGCCAACAGAGCGAGACTGTCTCAGGAAAAAAAAAAATGCATTTGGAGCATTTATTAACATTAATAATTGAAATGTTATTATATTTCCCCAAATCTAATTTACAATTTCAAACACTTCCCTCTGGCAGAATATACCCTCTAAACTCTTAGTATCACTCTCTCTTTTTAAATTATTATTATTATTTTGAGATGGAGTCTCACTCTGTCACCCAGGTTGGAGTGCAGTGGCGTGATCTCGGCTCACCACAACCTCCACCTCCCAGGTTCAAGCGATTCTCTTGCCTCAGCCTCCCGAGTAGCCAGTGCCACCATGCCTGGCTAATTTTTGTATTTTTAGTAGAGACGAGGTTTCACAATGTTGGCCAGGCTGGTCTCAAACTCCTGACCTCGTGATCTGCCTGCCTCGGCCTCCCAAAGTGCTGAGATTACAGGTGTGAACTATTGCACCCAGCCTCACTCTTAAAAAATTTTTAAAAAGTTTTTTTTGGTCTAAACTTTAATTAACTAAAGTCTATCCCTTTTCCCTTATAGACCAGTTCCAGAGCTCTCTTGCAAGAATCTGTAGAAAACACATGCTACACTGCCTAGCTTCTTGTATCATGAATCATTAATAGCCTGTAATATTAGGCATCATGTGTATCAGAGTATTTCTAGTTAAAGCAAAACAATACTAGAAAGCTGTTGGTAATCATTAGGCTTTTGGACACTTATGGGGGAACATGTAAATAATTCACTGTAAATAAAGATCTCTCTAAACATCATTGTCACTTCAGGAAACAAGAACTCTAAGAGTTAAAATATAAACCTCTGGTTGGAAAATGCTCTAGAAAAGGACAGACTACTACTATCAGACATTTTGTAGGGCAGGTTTTTTGTTGTTGTTTAGACAGTCTCACTCTGCTGCTCAGGCTGGAATGTAGTGGTGCTATCATGGCTTACTGCAGGATCAATCTCCTGGGCTCAGGCAACCCTCCCAAAGTGCTGAGACTACAGGCGTGAGCCACTGCACCCAGCCTTAGGGCAGGGTTTTAGTTTCTCTTGTTTTTTTTTTTTTTTGGAGACACAGTCTCGCTCTGTCACCCAGGATGGAATGCAGTGGTGCGATCTCGGCTCATTGCAACCTCTGCCTCCCAGGTTCAAGCGATTCTCCTGCCTCAGCCTCCCGAGTAGCTGGGATTACAGGCATGCGCCACCATGCCTGGCTAATTTTGTATTTTTAATAGAGACGGGGTTTCTCCATGTTGGTAAGGCTGGTCTCGAACTCCTGACCTCAGGTGATCCACCCGTCTTGGCCTCCCAAAGTGCTAGGATTACAGGTGTGAGCCACCATGCCCAGCCTGGGGTTTTAGTTTTTACTTGTTACCAGGTCATCAGGATTATTAGGATCTATACGTAAGAACAAAGTACAGTGTTCTTTAGGAATTTGAATGAAGTTCATTTAGCAGAATCCACAAAACTTAAAACACAAATTTAAAAGTAGTATCATGAAGAATCGTGAGGAAAGTCACACACAAAAAGTATTTATTAAATGTTTTCTTTTCTGTAACTTAAACAGATTTAAGTTTAAAAAAAAAAACACCCCACAAAACCTATATATAAAGATCAAGAACACTTTCAGTAACAGATCATTACAGAATCCAAGTTTGACCCCTAGAGTGCAGCAGTGCGCCACACTCCCTAGCACACAGCAGGGCACCACACTCCCTAGTGTACAGCAGGGCACCACACTCCCTAGCGCGCAGCAGTGCACCACACTCCCTAGCACGCAGCAGTGCACCACACTCCCTTTGGCCTGAAGTGTTGCAGACAACTCCTATCCAAGCCAGGGCACTGGCAGTTACCGGAGGATATGGGCTCCATGACTCAGTCTTCTTTTATTTACCCAGCGTGTCGGAGATCAAGTCACAACTGATGAATCAAAAGCGGTGAATTTTTAGCAAATGCAATTTCCATTTTTTAAAACTCTTTAAAGTAAAGCAATGATCTCAGTTGTTGATTAAAAGCAATGAAAGAAAAGTGAAACTTAAAAAGTAACTACCAATATTAGAAGCACACCAAAAAACAAAACAAACCAACACAATTTATCCTTTATAAGTTTAGCTTAAATATGGTACAAAATATTTCTGTTACATATCTTATGGAGACATGAATAGACTTACCTCTTATATTCATTAATATGCATTCACATGTGCAAACCAATATAACTGCAATCCATTTGACATAATATAATTAGCATACCTCTTTAACCTATCACAATATAGTCCTTTCATGACACCAACCTGGTTTGAATACCATTATTTTGTTACCTTAACAATACTGTACAGTGGCATTATGTAAACCTAGTGCCAGGTGGGCAACATTTTCAACCAGCTCAGCCTCTGCTTAAAGTTTGCATATTCCCATGGGCTCAGCCTCTTGGCAAATTTAGTGTTGTCATCTCTCCAATGGTAAAAGCAAACTCACTGCTGAAGATCTTCCATTTCCACCGGTCTGAGTCATGATGGTTTTTGTCCCCATCAGCTGTACTAGAATCTGGCATCATTATAAACCCAGAAAGGGACCTTTCTCTACTCCTAACCTTTAATCAGTAACTCCTACCTCCACAGAGAAGATGCCAGAATGAATTCTATTACATGTCCTACAACAGTGAATCTCAGTGCAAAGTTGGTGTTGATTTTAACCTCCTGGTCAATCAACTATAACAGATCCCCCTTCCAGTGTGCCTGGGTTCCCACTAGTCCAGCGTCAAATTTAATGCTTTCGAAATAAAAGCCTTGGTTTAGAAAAGACCAAAGCAGGAGCTTTTCAAATGATAAATTGGTGAAATCTGTCCCTTCAGCCTCTATTGTATTTATTCTCTTGGGCGGATACCAGATGAATCTGAACAGCCAGGTTTTATCCTGAAAAGTTTGCCCTCTCGGTGATGAAACCTACCTGAATGTTTTTTTCACAGTCTGTTTGCTGGTGAAGGGACAGCTCACTTTCCAGGACAAACTTCTTGCCACATTTATCACAAATCTGCATGCGCCTGTGAGTAACGTTCATGTGCTTCTCCAGGTACCAGCGAGTGTTAAATACCCTGGGGCACTTCTCACAGGTCAGAGTCTCTTTCTCTTCACACTTAGCTTTCTGGACTGGTGCTTTGGGCTCCTTTGTGGCCCGCTTCTTACGCTTAGGTGGCTCTACACTCTTCCTACGACCTCTTGTAGTTCTGGGAGTAGGGGAAGTGGTAGCTGCGGCAACAGAGGCAGCTCTCCTGGTTCTCCTTTGTGTAACGCTGACTTTCTCTACTATCTTCTCCTTTTTCTTCTGCTTTTCATTCTCTCCATAGTCATTGCTGTCATCTGTGGCCTCTTCCTCACTCTCTTCCTCTTCCTCCTCACTGCTTGTCTTAAGAACAGGAGTCTCTTTGGACTGAGAAGAGACACCCTTTTCCCCTTTAGACACATTTAATGTTTGATTATTAAGGTTTACCTCCACTATGATCTGCTCCCTTTTGTAAGAGACTTCTTCCTCTTCCTCTTCTGTGTCATCAGAATTCTCCCGGTCTTCCTTAACAGCATGCACGTCAGACACTGCTCTTGTCTCCCTGAAATACGGCTGTTCTTCTGTTTCATGGAGATGTGGCTTGCTCATCTTGGTGTCCACTAACACAGAATAAGGACTTCCTGACTCCCTTTTGTACACTTTGGTGGACAGGTCAAGTTCTTGGTTGGCACCATGATAAAAGGAAGATGGCACTTGACCACGACGGCTATCTTCTTGTGCCATTCCTGCTACATGCACAGCACAGTTTTCAACCAGTTCCTGACAAGAACTGGCTGTGTGGCTCATTGGTAAGTGGCCCAATTTATTAAGCAGTTCAGACTATAAAGAAAATAGCTTTAAAACAAGGTAATTATTAAGACTCAAATCTTTTTCATCCACAAAGAATCACTCAAATGAAAAAAAGATATTCCTGGAAATTGTGTGCAATTCTTCCAGTGTTGCAGCACCAAAGCATGAGTCAAAAAGGTTTGGTATTACGGCAAGAGCAGAGCACTAGTGATTTTTCTTCTGAAGAGAGCTGCAAGGGACTTGGGAGCATCTTATCTACAAAGAAAAGCAAAGAGGAAAAAACATCAGATAATACCACTATTTCCTTTTTATAGCATGAATTTAAATCACAAGAAACATAGCTTAAATAATAATAATTATTAAATATTATTATTATTTAGAGATGGAGTCTCACTCTGTCACCCAGGCTGGAGTGCAGTAGTACAGTAGTGCAGTCTTGGCTTACTGCAACCTCTGCTGCCCGGGTTCAAGCGATTTCCCTGCCTTAGCCTCCTAAGTAGTTGGGATTACAGGCAGCTGCCACCACGCTGGGCTAATTTTTGTATTTTTAGTACAGACGGGGTTTCACCATCTTGGCCAGGCTGGTCTTGAACTCCTGACCTCGTGATCCACCCACCTCGGGCTCCCAAAGTGCTGGGATTACAAGCATGAACCACCACACCCGGCCAAAATTATTAAACTCTTTACATACACAATGCTTTTAACTGCTTAAATGTTTCAGTATGGGCCATTATTTTGATTACAGGAATTCATAAACATTTTCTGTTAGACTATAAATTTTACAACAGCAAAAGCCACATCTGTCCAGTTCACTGAGATATCCTCAGAGCTTAGCACAGTATCTAGCATACAGTATATATTTGATGAATAAAATAATATTGCACAGCATTCATTTTCCTAGATACTACGGAATATGCTGATATGGCAAAACATATGGTCTCTATCCACAAGACCTTTACAGTCTAGTTTACAATGTGTTGGGCATGAAACACAGAACAGCTTTATATTGGCTGACTTTCTTTCAGCATCAATCACATGTCCACCACAGTGAGAGCTCACAGAACAAAGGTGGTAGTGGGGTAGGCACTGTGGTCCCTGGAAATAAAATAGCTAACTGACATAACTATAGAAGAGAAGAAAAATGTCCTTGGCCTTAAATACTTTATAATCTAGGTATAAATATAATTGTTTTCAGGTTTATTGGAGTAATTTCAAAGTTGTCAAATATTTTAACATTTGTTCTGTGCATAGCTCACTTCACCCACTCAGTAAGTGGGTGATTTTTTTATGTGTCAGTTGCACAGGAGTCTAAATTCTAAGAAACCATACCCATCAAGTTGATATGTTTCCAAGAAAAATAAAACCATCCAATATTAATTTTTAAAAAGCTTAGAAGGGCATATAATTTGCTTAGTGACATACTCACATTGCTATTTAGCCAACCCACCTATCCTCTGAGTCGTATGAATATCACTGTAAACAACAATTGACAAAAGGAAGGAAATTAGTTTTTTTTTTTTTTTTTTTTTTTGAGACGGATTCTTGCTCTGTCGCCCAGGCTGGAGTGCAGTGGTGTGATCTCGGCTCACTGCAAGCTCCGCCTCCCGGGTTCACGCCATTCTCCTGCCTCAGCCTCCTGAGTAGCTGGGACTACAGGCGTTCGACACCGCGCCCGGCTAATTTTTTGTATTTTTAGTAGAGAAGGGGTTTCACTGTGGTCTCGATCTCCTGACCTTGTGATCCGCCCGCCTCGGCCTCCCAAAGTGCTGGGATTACAGGCGTGAGCCACCACGCCTGGCTGGAAATTAGTGTTTATTAAATGCCTGCTATGGACATAGGCACTATAATAGTTTTTATTGTTCATTATTTAATATCCACCACAAAACTGTGGGGTTGATTTCTTTTTTAAGACCGGGTCTCGGGCCAGGTGCTGTGGCTCATGCCTGTAATCCTGGCACTTTGGGAGGCCGAGGTAATCGGATCACGAGGTCAGGAGATCAAGACCATCCTGGTCAACATGGTGAAACCCCGTTTCCACTGAAAATCCAAAAATTAGCTGAGCATAGCGGCGCGTGCCTGTAATCCCAGCTACTCAGGAGGCTGAGGCAGGAGAATCGCTTGAACCTGGGAGGTGGAGATTGTAGTGAGCTGAGATGGTGCCACTGCACTCCAGCCTGGCAACAGAGCTAGATTCCATCTGGAAGGGCGGGGGGGGGAAGACAGGGTCTCACTCCGTTGCCCAGGCTGGAGTCCAGTGGTGCAATCATGGCTCACTGCAGCCTCAACCTTCTGGGCTCAAGTGATCCTTCCACCTCAGCCTCCTAAACAGCTAGGACCACAGGCATGTGCCACCACACCCAGCTAATTAAAAAAAAAATTTTTAGAGATAGGGTCTCCCTATGTTACCCAGACTGGTGGGACTGGTTTTTAAATTCAATTTTTATCAAAATAATCATTTTAAAAATTCATAGTTTCACAATTCAAATGTATTGGCCGTACTCCAATTTACCTCAGTCCCATTCCCTGGAGGCAATAAGGCTGTTTTAGCTGCCCCTCTCTCCATTTAATTCCATATTTCTACATAATTTGATTATATTTCTGTTTCTGGACTTTTTATTTCAATTTCAGATATTACCTTGTCTTTCTCTAGTTTTCCTTTTTTTTGAGCCAGAGTCTCGCTCAGTCACCCAGGCTGGAGTGCAGTGGCGTGATCTCGGCTCACTGCAAGCTCTGCTTCCCAGGTTCACGCCATTCTCCTGCCTCAGCCTCCCGAGTAGCTGGGACTATAGGCGCCCGCCACCACCCCCAGCTAATTTTTTGTATTTTTAGTAGACATGGGGTTTCACGTGTTAGCCAGGATGGTCTTGATCTCCTGACCTCGTGATCCGCCCACCTCAGCCTCCCAAAGTGCTGGGATTACAGGCGTGAGCCACCGCGCCTGGCTCTCTAGTTTTTTTACCTTATTGTTCCCAACTCTTCCCTCATGTTCCCAATATAGTTATATCACAACTTTGAAAAATATCAGTATTTATGACTAATATTATGACTATGAGTAGTTCACAATTATTTCTATCACTCCTACACTAGTCCTTTGTCTTCTCTTCCATTTTCTTTTTCCTTGTGAATTTATTCTTTTTTTAAAAAAATTATTTTACTTTAGCTTTAATGGAATTTCAGGAATTTGTGGTAATAAGTGCTACCATGTTTTACCTGACATCTGAATAGATACCTTCATACTTTCTTGTACTTATAAATGGTAAAATTATGGCTCAGAGAGGCAACATAATTTGTCTAAGATCACAAGTCTATCAAATGACAGACGTAGTATTTGACTACAGGCCTGCCTGACTCCAAAGCTCATGGTCTATTTCTACTACGACAAATGACACCTTGAAATAATTTAAACTCAACTATTCTTTTAACTGCCTATCTTTTTGTACCAGTTTCATCCCTCATATTTTAAGTAGGAAAATCCTAGCAACCTTATTCTACATGTGCCAAAACTTCTCACCCATGGAAATAATGTGAACTACTATGAGTATCATTTAAATAAACTCATATTAATTATCTCAAATTAAGTAAGGGAGGAGTGATTTAAAATTCAATTAGCTAGCAAAAGCTAGAAGTTAAACAAAAACCAGAAAGACAAAGAAAAAAAATAAAGAGTAATCATTAATTCATTTTCCAAATATTTCTGACTCTCAGCTTTCTGGGCACATGGTAGGCTACACCTTTTTTTTTTTTTTTTTGGAGACGGAGTCTTGCTCTGTCGCCCAAGCTGGAATGCATGGTGCAATCTCGGCTTACTGCAACTACGCCTCCTGGGTTCAAGCAATTCTCCTGTCTCAGCCTCTGGAGTAGCTGGGGCTATACACACCACCATGGCCAGCTATTTTTTTTTTTTTTTTTTTTGAGACAGAGTCTTGCTCTGTCACCCAGGCTAGAGTGCAGTGGCACAATCTCAGCTCACTGCAAACTCCACCTCCCGGGTTCAAGCAATTCTCCTACCTCAGCCTCCCAAAGTGCTGGGATTACACGTGTGAGCCACTGCACCCAGCCTAGGCTACACTTTTTAAACCACGCCCACAACTCCTATTCCCTGTAGTTGGACGGGGTCTTGTGACTACTTCTGGTCAGCATATTATGAGAAGTGACAGGAAGAGGCAGGGCACTTACTAACCAATATGAAATCCTTCAGATCTCTTTTCCTTCTGGCACAGTGGCTAGCAATCTTTCAGGTGATGATTGCTCTCTCTCTGGTCCCCTAACAACTAAGACAACCTACTGGATAGACGCAGTGTATTTTCTTGGTGTTTTTGTTTTGTTTTGTTTTGTTTTGAGACAGAGTCTCACTCTGTCACCCAGGCTCGGCTCACTGCAACCTCTGCCTCCCAGGTTCAAGCGATTCTCCTGTCTCAGACTCCTGAATAGCTGGGACTACAGACACCCACCACTACGCCCAGCTTTTTTGTATTTTTAGTAGAGACAGGGTTTCACCATGTTGGTCAGGCTGGTCTTGAACCCCTGACCACAGGTGATTCACCCGCCTCGACCTCCCAAAGTGCTAGAATTACAGGCGTGAGCCACCGCGCCCAGCCACACAGTGTTTTTAAAGCCACTGAGATCTTGCATTGTTTATTACCACAGCACAATTTGGCTTATCCAAGCTGCTACCAGTAGACACCAAAAGTAGGGTGCTGCCTTACCAAAAAGCCTAAAATATATGACAAAGCCTTAGGAGCTGGGTGGAAGGAGGCAAGGAACGTTATTGGAGGCTAAAAGATCAGCAACTTATATTATACAGTGGTGAAATGATCAGTGAAATTATCAGCTATCCCAGAAGGTAGATAATATACCACAAGAGCTAACAGCTCTAGTGGGAAAATGGACTATTACAAGTGTGTTGTATTGTAACACTGTTAGTTGTATTTAACAAATTATCACATGAAAAGGATGAATGCAGAAAATAATGATCAATTTATAATCAAGAATAAAATAAATCCAGAAAGTCAGGGATTTGCAGAGGAAGAGGCAAGTGCTTAATGTAAAACTGAAATCTTTGAGCTACAAAGCCTGTATAGAATTCAGTCTTGGCCGGGCGCGGTGGCTCAAGCCTGTAATCCCAGCACTTTGGGAGGCCGAGGCGTGCGGATCACGAGGTCAGGAGATCGAGACCATCCTGGCTAACACGGTGAAACCCCGTCTCTACTAAAAAAATACAAAAAAAAACTAGCCGGGCGAGGTGGCGGGCGCCTGTAGTCCCAGCTATTCGGGAGGCTGAGGCAGGAGAATGGCGTAAACCCGGGAGGCGGAGCTTGCAGTGAGCTGAGATCCGGCCACTGCACTCCAGCCCAGGCGACGAGACTCCGTCTCAAAAAAAAAAAAAAAAAAAAAAAAAAAAAAAAGAATTCAGTCTTGAGGCAAAGATCAAATCAAATATTTGGCTTTCACAATCACTGATTAAGATGGTACTCAATAAAATAGCTTTTTAAAAGAGACTAAAGATGAGTTCTGCTACAAAGCATATTTCTCTAATGTGAATTAATTCAAATGCTATTAGTAAATAGGGAAATGATAGCAGAATAACTCAGAAGCAATGTTAGTTTATACAAGATTTTCTCAAGTTAAATGTCTGAAGTGATCAGGAGCAAGCTTTCTCAAAATTACAGAGAAAGCAAGCCTTAGCAATACACGAAGAGCTCAAGAAAAAAGCTAAACACTCTACTTCTGTATCTTCCTTTAATGCAAGCAATGGTTCATTCAGTGACTTCATGAATAAAACTCTTTCCACTTTATACCTGATGAAGCTGAGAGAACAGTCACACCTCAGAGATATTGCCGGTTCGGCTCCAGACCGCCACAATAAAGCAAATACCTCAATAAAGCAAGTCACACAAATTTTTTGGTTTCCTTGTGCATATAAGTTATGTTTACATTACACTGTAGTCTATTAAGTGTGCAATAGCTTTGTATCTTAAAAAACAATGTACATGCTTTAATTTTAAAATAATTTATTGTGGCCGGGTACGGTGGCTCACGTCTGTAATCCCAGCACTTTGGGAGGCTGAGGTGGGCGGATCATGAGGTCAGGAGATTGAGACCACCCTGGCTAACACGGTGAAACTCGGTCTCTACTAAAAATACAAAAAATTAGCTGGGCATGGTGGCAGACACCTGTAGTCCCAGCTACTCAGGAGGCTGAGGCAGGAGAATGATGTGAACCCGGGAGGCGGAGCTTGCAGTGAGCCAAGACTGCGCCACTGTACTCCAGCCTGTGCAACAGAGCGACACTCTGTCTCAAAAAAAAAAAAAAAAAAAGAATAAAATAATAATTTATTGTTAAAAAATGTTAACGATTATCTGATCCTTCAGTGAATCAATCATTTTGCCAATGGAGGGTCTTGCTTCAATGTTGATGGCTGCTGCATGATCAGGGTGGTGGTTGCTGAAGGCTGGAATGGCTGTGGCAATTTCTTAAAATAAGACAACAATGAAATTTGCTGCATTGACTTATTCTTCGTTTCATAGAAGATTTCTCTGTAGGATATGATGCTGTTTGATAACACTTAGCCCACAATAGAACTTCTTTCAAAATTGGAGTCAATCCTCTCAAACCCAGCCACTGCTTCGACAACTAAGTTTATGGAATATTCTAAATCCTTTGTCATTCCAATAACGTTCACGACATCTTCACCAGGAGTAGATTCCATCTCAAGAAGTAGATTCCATCTGTTCGAGTTTTATCAAAAGATGGCAGCAATTCAGTCACACTTCAGGCTCCACTTCTAATTCTAGTTCTCTTGCTATTTCCACATTTGCAGTGACTTCCTCCACTGAAGCGTTGAAACCCTCAAAGTTGTCCATGAGGCTTGGAATCGACTCCTCTAAACTCCTGTTTGTGTTGATATTTTGACCTCTTTCCATGAATCACAAATGTTCTTAATGGTATCTAGAGTGGTGAATCCTTTCTAGAAGGTTTTCAAATTACTTTGCCCAGACCCATCAGAGGAATCGCTATCTATGGCAGCTATAGTACAAAATCAATTTTATAAATAAAGCTAGGAGGTAAAAATTACTCATTGATCCATGGGCTACAGAATGAATGTTAAATTATCATGCATGAAAACAACATTCAACATTCATCTCCTTGTACATCTCCACCAGAGCTCTTGGGTAACTAGGTGCACTGTCAATGAGCCATAATACTTTGAAGGGAATCTTTTTTTCTGAGCAGTAGATCTCAACAGTGGGCTTAAAATATTCAGTAAACCATGCTGTAAACAGGTATGCTGTTATTCAGGCTTTATTGTTTCATTTCTAAAACACAGGCTGAGTAGATATAGCATCACTCATAAGGCCCTCTGGATTTTTAGAATAGTAAAGTGGCTTCACCTTCAAGTCACCAGCTGCATTAGCCCCTAACAAGAGAGTCAGCCTATCTTTTGAAGCCAGGCATTCACTTCTATCTATGACAGTCCTAGATGGCATCTTCTTTCAATATAAGGCTATTTTGTCTACACCAGAAAATGATCTTAGATGTGGATAACTTGCTGGAGCTTCTACATCAGCACGTGCTGCTTCACCTTTCACTTTTACATTATGGAGATAGCTTATTTCCTCAAACCTCATGAACCAACCTCTCTGCTGGCTTCCATCTTTTCTTCTGTAGCTTCCTCACTTCTCAGCCTTCAAAGACTTGAACAGTTAGGATCTTGTTCTAGCTTTGGCTTAAAGGAATGTTGTGTTTGGCTTGATCTATGCAAACCACTAAAACCTTCTCCATCTCAGCAATAGGGCTGTTTCACTTTTTTTTTTTTTTGTGAGACACAGTCTCACCTGTCACCCAGGCTGGGAGTGCAGTGGCGTGATCTTAGCTTACTGCAACCTCCGCCTCCTGGGTTCAAGCGACTCTCCTGCCTCACCCTCCCAAGTAGCTGGGATTACAATTAGCCACATCTGGCTAATTGTGTATTTTTAGTAGAGACGATGTTTCACTATGTTGGCCAGGCTGGTCTCGAACTCCTGACCTCGGTTGATCCGCCCACCTTGGACTCCCAAAGTGCTGGGATTACAGGAGAGGGCCACCACACCCAGCCAGCTGGTTCACTTTCTTATCATTCGTGTGTTCACTGGGATAGCACTTTTCTTTTTTTTTTTTTGAGATGGAGTTTCACTTTTGTCACCCAGGCTGGAGTACAGTGGTATGACCTCAGCTCACTGCAACCTCCACCTCCCGGGTTCAAGCATTTCTCCTCCCTCAGCCTACCGAGTAGCTGGGATTACAGGCACACACCACCACGCCCGGCTAATTTTTGTATTTTTAATAGACACTAGGTTTTAACATGTTGGCTAGGGTGGTCCCGAACTCCTGACCTCAGGTGGTCTGCCCACCTTGGCCTCCCAAAGTGCTGGGATTATAGGTGTGAGCCACCGTGCCCGGCCCATTGGGGTAGCACTTTTAAATTTCCTTCAAAAAGTTTTCCTTTGCATTCACAACTTGATAGTTTGGCACAAGAAGCCTACGTTTTGGCCTGTCTTGGCTTTTGACATGCCTTCCTCACTGAGCTTTATCATCTCTAGCTTTTGATTTAAAATGAGAGAGGGGTGACTCTTCCTTTCACTTGAACACTGAGAGGCCACTGTAGAGTTATTAATTGGTCTAATTTCAATATTGTTGTGTCTCAGGGAATAGGAAGGCTTGAGGACAGGGAAAGAGATGGGGTAACAGCTGGTCTGTGGAACAGTAAGAACACATATGATATTTATCAATGAAGTGTGTCATCTTATATGAGTATGGTTTATAGCACCCCAAAACAATTATAACAGTAACATCAAAGATCACTTATCACAGATCACCATTAACAGATAGCAAAGAAAATGTTTTAAATATTGGGAGAATTACAAAAATGAGACACAGAGACACAAAGTGAGCATGTTGGAAAAATGACACTGACAGACTTGCTCGATGGATGGTTACAACAAACCTTCAATTTGTTAGCAAAGTGCAATAAAACAAGGGAGGCCTTCAGCCTGAGCAACATGGTGAAATCTCGTCTCTACACACACACACACACACACACACACACATTACCCAGGCATGGTGCTGCACACCTGTGGTCCCAGCTACTTGGGAGGCTGAGGCACGAGAACTGCTTGAACCCAGGAGGCAGAGGCTGTAGTGAGCCAAGATTGTGCCACTGCACTCCAGCCTGGGTGACAGTGAGACCCTGTCTCAAAAGAAAACAACAAAAAAAAATTATTTTGATGAAACTGGTCTGTATTGGAAGCAAAGGTCCTCATGGTCCAAAATCTCAGAGAAGGAAACAACCACCCAAGGAATTAAGTCTGTAAACACGGAAATATATGCCAGTGGAGATTTAATATGTTTTTATTATGGTTAATTTTAATTTTTTTTATTTTTGGGTTTTTTTCCACGAAGACCAAAAAACCTGCTAGACAAATTCTAAAAGAGTTGTAACATTTATTTTTGTTTTTATTAGTGCAAGGACTACGGTGTTCCACAGATTTAGAGTGGTTTGCCTCAACTCTATTTTCACCGTAAATCCTGTTTACTTTAGTGCACAATTTTGCAGAATGGGGACTTTTTGGAAAAGCGTATATGGCAGTATAGCAGAAATATCTGTATTCAAAATTAAATCAAGGAAGAAGTATGGGACTAATAAAGCAGAGTTATGTAGCAAACATAAGAAGTACGGGCCAGGTGCAGTGGCTCATGCCTGTAATCTCGGTACTGTGGGAGAATTGCTTGAGTCCAGCAGACCAGCCTGGGCAACATTTTTTTTCTTAAAAAAAAAAAAAAGAAAAAAGAAGTATGGTAAGAAAAGAACTGTGGATGTGGTTAGAGCACCTGGAGCTGAATATATTCCCCCTCCCCGCCGAGACAGAGTCTAGCTCTGTTGCCCAGGTTAGAGTGCAGTGGCACAATCTCAGCTCACTGCAACCTCCGCCTCCTGAGTTTCAAAGTGATTCTCCTGCCTCAGCCTCCCTAGTAGCTGGGATTACAGGCCCCTGCCACCACGCCCAGCTAATTTTTGTACTTTTAGTAGAGACGGGCTTTCACTGTGTTGGCCAGGCTGGTCTCGAACTCCTGATCTTGTGATCCGCTGCCTCAGCCTCCCAAAGTGCTGGGATTATAAGCGTGAGCCACTGTGCCTGGCCTACATAAGGCATATTTATCATGTATTTGTTAAATGTTTATGAATTGCCTACTATGTGTTAGGTATTGTAGGAGTTGGAACCATCAAGGTGCTCAAAGGTGTACCTGGAGAGACAGACATGAAAATATAGCACAGCAGATCAGGCACAGTGGCTCATGCCTGTAATCTCAGCACTTTGGGAGGCTGAGGCAGGAGGATCACTTGAAGCAAGGGAGTTCAAGACTAATGTGAGCAACATAACGAGACTTTGTGTCTACTTTTAAATACATACTTTTTTTTTTTTTTTTTTTTTTTTTAGTAGAGATAGGGTTTCACCATGTTATCCAGGCTGGTCTCGAACTCCTGGCCTCAAGTAATCTGCCTGCCTCAGCCTCCCAAAGAGTTGGAATTACAGGCATGAGCCATCACACCTATAATTTTTTAAAAAGTAAAAACACAGTATAGCTGTTAAGAGCACAAACTCTGAAACCAGACTGCCTGCATTAGAAATCTGGCTCTAAAACCTCATAGGTGGGTCACGACCTTGAGTAAGTTACTTAACTTCTTTATGTCTAATTTTCTGTATATGTACAATGGAGATAGTAGTAGTATCTACCTCATGGATTACTGGTATAAATGCTTATGAGAATACTTAGCAACAGTAAGCACTATTATAAGTATTTGCTAAATAAATACACTCACCTATACACATAACATACAGTGGCAGTGTGTGAAGGGAGGTGGTGAACAGGCCATGGGAAGTTTCAGAGATGAGATAAAGCTGCCGCTGGTCTTGAAGGACAAGCAGAAGTCAGATGGAGAAGGGGGAAGGTAAGAATGTTGCACACAAGCAACACCACAGGAAAATGACAGGAATGAAACCATGTGGGTTTTTTTTTTTTTAACCTACTTATGCATGATTACCCTACAATGACTTGGAATGCTGCTATGGTTTGGATGTTTTGTCCTCTCCAAATTTCATGTTGAAATGTAATCCCCGATGTTGGAGGTGAGGCCTGGTGGGAGGTGTTTGGGTCATGGGGGCAGATCCCTCATGAATGGCCTGGTGCCGTCCTCGAGGGAATGAGTTATTTCTTGCTCTGAGTTTACATGAGATCTGGTTAAGACAGTGGCACTTCCCCCCAATCTCTTGCTTGCTCTTTCACCATGTGATACACCTGTGTCCCCCTTTGCATTCTGCCATGATTGTACACTTTCTGAGGCCCTTAACAGAAGCCGAGCAGATGTTGTTGCCAGGCTTCTACAGCCTGCAGAACCACGAGCCCAAGTAAACCACTTTTCTTTACAAATTACCCAGCCTCAGGTATTCCTTTACAGCAGTGCAAACAGACTAACACAAATGCTGCTCCCATTTTACTGATGAGGCTCAACTTTCCCATTGTCATTGCTGGTAAGTGATGGGACAAGTGTTTGAATTATGCTTTTCTAACTCCTAGTCCAAGTTTACCATACTGTCTCCTACTGAGTTAATGGTAAACAACAGTCTCAAAGGATGTACTTAGGTTTTTGAACAACAAAATACCTTTACAATACAAAGCAAATAACAGAATTCCAGACTCGTGTTTGAGGGTGTAAATTTTATCCTTAGCTAGTGAAACTCATACCTTCCTTCAGAATGTCTAGAAAGTTAGGTTACATTCTGATTTTCAAATTGATTCACCTGTAGTCTGGGTTTCACAGTAACCACTTTTAACAAACTAAAGACTCAAAATTTAAAGTATATTTTTAGTTCATCTTCTTGCAACAAAATGGTAAGCTTTCAAATGGGTAAAACCTAAATAAACTTGTCAACTTTGAATTTTGTATGTAAAGTAGAAGTTATAGAAACAAAATTTATATCGAAAAGGGTTTTGTTATCACAGTATCAACGCATACTTATAAATGTCCTTCATTTCCAAAGGTGCTCACAATATCGACCTGAAATACACTCAAAAAGCTACCAATGTCAACTTGTAACAGTCATCTTCACAACAAACAAAAACCTCAAATGTCATATATCACTGGGCCTTATTTTGGATAAGCATTACAAGCTGTTCTCAGATGCCTATATTTTATATGGTCAAAAACCAGAACTACAGTCTCATCTAATAAAAATGTACTATGTCAAACAATTTTTAAGCAGTCCATCTAATCCACTCTCTGTAAGAAGTGAAATTGAGAAATGCTTGTCACCTTCAGTTTTAGACAAAGCTTTCATAAAAATAAAATTTCACTGTAGTTTTTTACACACACATTTAAACAAGACTGCCATTGTGTTTTCCTCAATAATGTGCAAGTGCAACCAGTGAAAGAGGACAAAGGAGAGACGCACTCTTCCTAGGTACTACCTAATTACCTTCAAGCATCAACAGTTTCCACATTTCCATATAAGATAATACAAACTAATGTGCATTAGTCATCACACAAGTCAGCTGAAGCAATCTTAACTTTCACCAATAACCACCACGCCCAGGGTCAAAGAAGAAATCAAATACTAATTAACTCCTGATCTCAGGTGATCCACCCACCTCGGCCTCCCAAAGTGCTGGGATTACAGGTGTGAGCCACCGTGCCCAGCCGAATGTGCCTTTTCTTAAACTTCTAAAGGTAACACCCCAAATTAGAGCTGAGGTATATCTATCAGGTATAACTATAGGTACAGATGTTCACATTGTGGCTACCTATAATCCACTAAGAGAGGTGTCAAATTGACTAGATCATTGTGAACCTGAATTTAAAACTCATTTAGAAAAATAACTCAGAAATGCCTTTATTACATTCTAGTATCTTATAAAAATAAAAATCACAAATATTTTAGATTTGTGGATAACATCAGAAAATGCTGGGAATTTATTTTATACATTTGGCCTACAAAAAGACAATGGAGTGTTACTGTTTTCTCATTAACAAAAACTCTTTGACACTTCAAAAATTAACATTTTGTACAAAAACTAGCCATGCATGGTAATGCATGCCTGTAGTCCCAGCTATTAGGGAGGCTGAGGCAGGAGAATCGGTTTAACCAGGGACATGGAGATTGCAGTGAGCTGAGATCGCAGCACTGTACTCCATCCTGGGTGAGAGTGAGATTTCGTCTCAAAAAATAAAATAAAATAAAAGGCAGGCATGGTGGTTCATACCTGTAATCCCAGCATTTTGGGAGGCCAAAGTGGGTGGATTACCTGAGGTCAGGAGTTCAAGACCAGTGTGGCCAACGTGGCAAAACTCTGTCTCTACCGAAAATACAAAAACAGCTGGGCGTGGTGGTTGGCACCTGTAATCCCAGCTACTTGGGAGGCTGAGGCAGGAGAATTGCTTGAACACAGGAGACTGAGGTTGCAGTGAGCTGAGATCGCACCATTGCACTCCAGCCTGGGAACACTGCCTCAAAATAAATAAATAAATGAATAAATAAATATAACACTTTTGAAAACATCTTAACTGAACTAGTGTTAAACCAACAGGTATAAATAAACAGTCTAAAACAAAAATATTTGAAACCAGGTAGGACGTTTTAACCCAAACCATAATGTATGCAAAACACAGCCAACAGAAAAAGACAAATTGCTAACATACCTTCTGCCTTTTCCTTCCCATAAGCCTGTATATTTCCTCTCTGATTCTTTTGAAATATACAAATCCTCTCCCTCCCAAAAGGAACACACACAATTTTACAAACAATTTCAAGGGATCTGCCTATTTCCAGAAATCCATCCATGGATTCTCTAGGGATCCCAAAACCCCAGGCTAAAAACTCTCATCACAGAGCAGATTATACCTTTCCTTGTGATATATATTTAAATTTTTTGAAGACAGAGGTCTTGCTATGTTGCCCAGGCTGGTCTCAAACTCCTGGCCTCAAGTGATCCTCCTGCCTTGGACTCCCAAAGTGCTGAGATTACAGGTGTGAGCCGCTGCACCCAGCCTGTAGCATATATTTACTTAGACAAAGTATGTAAATTAAATTTTTCTCTACCATCTTTCCTTCTTCTCCCTACCCCCTTTTCTCCCAATTTCTCCAGCATATCTATGGTCAGAAATGAATTAACAAGACTCATGCCTATAGTCTTAGCACTTTGGGAGGCTAAGGCAGGAGGATCATTTGAACCCAGACGGTTGAAGCTATAGTGAGTTATAACTGCACCACTGCACTCCGGCCTGGGCAAGAGAGCAAGAAGACCCTGTCTGAAAATAACATAACATAACATAACATAACGTAACATAACATAATTTTTTTTTTTTTTTTTTTGAGACGGAGTCTCACTCTGTCGCCCAGACTTGAGTGCAGTGGCACAATCTCGGCTCACTGCAAGCTCCACCTCCCGG